AAAGATTCTTCTGTTTCTTGTTCTTATTTTATTTTCTCCTAAGCTTTAGATAAAAAGATAACTACAGACAACAGTTGGAGACACTGCAAAATTGAAATATTTGTCATCAAACAAGTGAAATTGAACTTGATTGAGCAAATAGGTAAGAGAATATGTAGATGAAGATCATTTAAGTTTAAGATACAATAAAAACATTTCTATTATCTTACTTCAAGTAAATAAAATCTAATTATCTCATTTTTGAACTAAAATAATAAATTCTTTGGCAGATGATCGTATTTAACTGATCATTTTAAGGGCAAATGCTTTTATTCTTTTTAGTCATTATCAATCCTTCATCACTTTTGTTGATGATATGATCCGACAGAAGAGATTTGAACCAATTTTTCCAGTTTAAAATTCCTCCTTTATATTTACTTTAAAGGTACACTATGCAACCGGTGTTGATTTTCCAGCGAGGCTCCCCCCAGAGGGCGAAAATAAAAGTGCACCGTTGTAAATATGCTCAGCTGTTCTCCTGGTTTCTCAGTCAAGCCAGGCGCGGTTGTTTTGAGCTTAGCAGACAGGCGAAAGTTTGCCTGATGTTCACCCGTGTACGACTCCTCTTTCTTGCCTGCTCCGACATGGGCTTTCGCTGTTTTCTCGCTGGTTCCGCCATGATAACTGCACAAATATCGCCACTGCGCTAGCAACGAGCATGCCTTTCACTGGGGGGTGTAGCAGTTCTCGCCGTAAAGCAAGACCGACTCTCGCGATGCACAAGACTTCTGAGCCTGTGGGTGCGGGCCGAGGGCTCCTGCAATTGCCAGTGCGGTATTTCCCCTACAGACCACCAGGGCGGCCGAGAAAACCTTTGTTCGACCTGAAATTACTCATTTAATCATCCAACACGTTATGGAACACATTAATTAACTGAAACATGTTGCATAGTATGCCTTTAACAATGAACTACAAACTAAAGCCAGCTTAAAGCATTTTAAAAAAGGATTACAGTTAAAGCTCAGAGTGAACAAATGGGTTTAAATATAATTCCTTAGAAATTATTTACTCCGACACCCCTAAAGAAACAATACAAAAAAAGTCTAATTCTCTAAGTGTAATTCTGAGCTTATTTCTTTATGTTTTCTTGGTTCACTTTTTACAGGTGATGAACCTGTTTCCAAAGGCTTGCCCACCTCTGCAGAGCTGCTTCTGGTGCTCCCATGTTCTAATGCAGATGCAGAGAGGGTGTTTTCTCTGGTGGAGCTGAAAAGGATCAAGACCAGGAACAGTTTGGCTCTAGAGGGAACGCTCTCATCCATAATGACAAAAACATGGCTGCTCTGGAGCCACCAGAGATTACAGTGATGCTCACCAAAGGTAGCTCTGCTAGATGAAGCAAAAGGTTAACCGTTAAGAAGAGGTTATACTTGATTTAGTCCTGTTTTTTGTCTTCATGCTGCATAATTCTAGTTTAGTCTAAATCTTTACCTTGTTTTATCCTGTCTTGGTCTTCTGGTTTGCTACGTGTTCAGGCATGCTTTGCATAAGCCTGTTTTTGGCTGATTTTATCCTACTTTTTTTGGGTTAGGATTTGCTGAGGATGGCATGTTTTTATTTTATTATTACTTATCTCCTTCATTTATATTTATTTAGCTCCACTGAATATGTTTAAAAATGTCATTTCCATTACACTTTCTGAATGAAACATCCAGAGAAGTGCTGTTTTGTGTCATTGTAAGTTTTTTATAGAACCTAAAGCCTCCTGGAAGCTCTGCATTTTTTTTGTTTTTTTTTCGTTTTTACCAAAAAAAAAAAAAAAACTAATAAGATAATAAGTTAAGATTTTTCATCCTTAACCTTTTATAAAATATTCATACGCACTGTAGTTTGCACAGGATCCGATTGCACTGGTTCCTGTATCAGTGCCATTAATCCAGTAATAACTTTTTTGTCCCCAATTGGTTATTTTACTTGAAATACATAGAATCAGTAAATAACAAAGTTATGAAATTCTTAGTTTAGAGTATATTTAAAGGTATAGTGGAGGATTTTCACTTTTTTTTTTAAAAAAAAA